CGCGCGCGCGCTCGTCAAAGGGCCAGTCGCGGATGCAGCATGCGCGTTTGAAAAGCTACGAGGGCTAAACGCATCGAGCAGAGCCAGCGTTTAAGCGAGACGCTCGGCTCGGAGCCAATAATTAATTGGCGCTAGGCGCGGAGAGGCTTGCCGAACGGGTTGGAAAGGATAATTAATGTTTAAGTTCGAATGTTGGCGCGCGGCCGTGTGCCGTGTGCCGTACACAAGCGGACGCGAAGCGAGTTATTAATGTTCTCGGCTAGAGAGAGAAATTACTTACCGAGTATCTGGCTAAGAACGGTGCGGCCATCTTCGCCGAGGCAGGCGCTCCGAGCATCAAAGGGATTTGTGAATTGCACGAATGCATAGCCTTTGTGCATAGATATTCCTGGAACAACAAACGATCATGACGTTCCAATACCGACCTCGCCCCTTCCTCCTCCTCCTCCTCTTACTCCTCTTACTCCTCCCGCTCTTTCTTCCTTCGCCACGCGAATGGAATGAAACAGAAATACCAAGATAATGGGAGGAAATCTTTAATTAAAATTGTTTCCATGAATTTTGATGAAGCACGGAGAGTCTAGTCTCCTGCTGCCGAGAGCTCCTCGTCATCGTTCCGGATCAAGGCAGCTGAAGGATCGCGATTATTGAAAGGGAAATATACCCCGAGAAAGCGAGAGATCTTTTCTTTTCTTTCTTTCTTTCTTTCCCCCCCCCCTTCTTCGTTCGTGACGATATATATCGAAAGTAATTTATCCCACGTGACTAACAACCTAGAGAGAGAGAGAGTTTCTCACCGAGAATGCCAACTCTCGAATAACCGCGAGAGCTGAAACTATGAAAATGGCGGCGTATCTTCAGATACGCGTGCTAAACAAATCGCAGGAACGTTCGGCTACGTGTACTTTTTCACAGGAATTTATCGCGATCCGCGGGGAACGAGTTCCCCTTCCTTCGCTTCCTTTTTGCTACATTCATCCGAACGATGAAATTTTAATAAGATTCCGATCGCGTCGATCCACCGTGAAACGTTCAATCTTCGCCTCGCCATCGCGTAGATTACTCGTCGTACCTGTCGCCTTGCCCGTGTCATCCAGCAACAATAACTTCGTCATTTCTGAAAATCCGCGCGAATATTTGCGAAAGCACGATCTCTTTCCACCATCTCGGACTTTCTTCTCGGTGAGATCGCGGTGAGATGGACGTCAGTTAGCTTCACAGATGTAAAGCATTTTCCATTTATTATTTATTAAAATTGAGGACTACACTCTACGACATTTGCAACGTGTTTACGAACAGAGAACAATTGCAGTATACAACCCAGAAACATTTGAAAAATCAAGATTCCATTTTATCCGTGACTTGTGCTTGTACATGCAGTTCTCATAAACCTATTAACATTTACTCGGAAGAATTTGTAAGAAATTACAGTTTTCTAACGTGCTGTTTAAACGAAAAGGTATTTCCTCGGCACATACGCCATTAAATTCGTCGTTAAAGGAACACTAATTTCATCGATTTACACAGAAAATGATAATCTGGCCAATAGTTCCAGCATTTGCCAACGTTGAGGGTAGTTCTCACGGCTTCAGCATCGACGGTGAAAACGAACGCGGGTCAAATAGCTACAATTCATGGCAAATTTCATCGAAATGGGTATATCGTATGTGAAGGGGTTCAGAAGAAAACATCGGAGGAAATGTCAATTTTTCTGCAGCGATTGCGGGAAGATTTACGAGCGACCGAGACGAAATATGGTTGATCGAGTCGGATATTATCCCCGGGGCAACGTCTGTCGATGCGGAGAGAACGCGGCGCAAAAACCAGTGGCTGTAAAACGATACACACGCATCGAAGGGGATGCAGAGGAGGGCACGAAGTCTCCCGGAGATTTTCAGTCCCTGACATTATTAACATGTCCTAGGCAACTGGCGTGGCCAGATAAGTTTTTTTTAACCGTCACTGTCCGTTTCGGGAGTGGACACGTACGAAATATATCCGCAACCAGGCCCGTGTACACCCGCGGCCATATACGTGCATGTGCATCATGTACATGTACGTACAACCGTGGCGTGGAATATATGGAGATTTACATATTTGTTTCAGCATAATGAATTCCATGCATGGTCAGCTGCTAACCACGCAAAAGTTATTACGGGTACACAGATTACAGGCGGCTCCCCGCCTGTTAAAATGAACGTATCTGCCGTTCTTGCTACGCAGACTGCCCACGGAATCGATGACCCAACTGGTAGCCATGTGGTACGGCCGATGTAAAATTAAAAAACAAAAAAAAAAAGAAAAAAACGGGGGGAGGGGGAGAGAGAGAGAGAGAGAGAGAGAGAGAGGAAAACGAAATGAAAGGATACCGGGTTGGAATTTCGAACGAATATTTCCTAGCCTGGAATTCTGCGTGCTCTGCAGTCGGCATTTTGATTCCCACCCCTTCGCCCAATGTTCGAAACGTATCTGTATCCGTCGATTTTACGGGGGTATTCTTCCCAGAGTAGATGTAAATTGTGTGTATCGACAGACGAGCGTTCGGCAGCAAGAGATTCGACGCGAATACGTTCGACGTCGGCTGCCGTCTTGTTTCCTCAGCGCGAAAGATTTCGCTGAATGTCGACGGCGTGCTTCGTCCACCGAGTAGTTCTCGAGCTTTCTCCAACAGTCAAATCGTATTTAAACGTGTTTCAAGCCGAGGAAAAAGAAAGAAAGGAAGAATACGTGTAAAGGCTCATGTAGTTGCACGAAGATCGATCCCAGTTTATAATGGCACGCGCAAACGACAAAAAGTAGCGACGTCCGTTTTTTCCGTCGTGCCGGGAAAAGGGGCGAATTGAGTCTGCTCCTCGTTGCGTCGAATCCTCCCCGGAGGGAGAGGCGAGCAAAAAAGCACGACAAGCTCAAAAAGCACGTCGCCCTATCTGGCGTTCACCGTCCCGCAGCGACGCGCACTTGCACAAAAGTTTCAACCTCTGCCCGCCACAACGACGATTCGCAATCTCGCCGACCGCCATCCTGTTGACTTGAGTGTTTTGCACCGGGTCGTTGGTCGTCGTGCACCACGCAAGAAAACGTCGTCCGTCCGGTGTCCTTATTGCGGAAGGTAGAAGGTGACGGTGACAGGCTCGAGTCAACGGAGACGTGAAATTGAAAAAGGTCTCGGCTTGTCGGACAGTGCATGGCCCGTGGAATGCCGGGCCGCGCTGGTGACAGCTGCGCGGAACAGATTGCACGAATCGAGTGAGTCCGGCGCTCGTCGACGACCCACCGGCGACACTCGCTGAACCACCAACGAAATTTAGTAGCTCGATCGTTTGCGAGGAGAAATCATTCGGCGATGCCGAATTTCAAAGGCCGAGTAATTCGAATGTTTTACACGCACGCTTCTCGTTTCTCCATTTTTCGTCGAGCACACTTCGTTTCAGCAAGTCTTCTGTACTCCTCGACAGAACGCACGTCGTTTCAATTTTTCTCGTCGAGACTACACGGCGCGATTGCCGATGGCTGATGCTGAACGTGAGACTCAAAGAGATTGAATTGAATAAATATCTAGCAAATATCAAGCAAGCCTCCACAAGTGTCTCGCGTAAACCACGCGGATCATCGTTTGTCGAATTTGAAAATCAACGAATTTGAATCGCGATCGTGGCAACGATCTACCACAAGTTCCTCCGCCCGAGCAATCCAAAGAGTTGGATGAAATGGCGAGACGCAATAACTCGTGACGTTTCACGCGATACCGTTTCATGCGAGGGTGCAACGCGAGAAAAAGCGAGCCGAGCTTTCGAGTAACTCGATATTTCTTGTTGCGGACGTTTACGTTGCTTCTTTCCCGGCAATCTACATATCCCCGTGTTTTTTGCTCGACCCGCGGAGCTAACGAGGAGGGTGGGAAATCGAATTAAAAGGAAAAATAGATCGAAATAGAAGGGGGGTAGCGAGCGCGCGAGAAAGAGAGAGAGAGAGAGAGAGAAAATGGAGAAGGAAACACAGCAGTCCGACGAACGTTTCGGTTCGGAACGATGGTGCAGCCAGCATCGGTTCGGTAACCGATTGAATTTTCCCCAGCCTGAATAACGAAAGCTGTTTCTGATTCGCCGGAAAAAATGAGCACGCGTTCCTCCGCGTCATTTATGCATACGGCTGTCTCTTTGATTGACGATAAAACTGTCCGTGCTTTCCCCTGCCCACCTCCCCCCACTCTTCTTCTTTTCTTTTTTCAAAGAGACAAGCTCAAACGTGTATCTCAATGGAAAAGTGAAAAAGCACGACCGGTGAAAAAGTTACAAGCACTTAGTGACGTTTTATAGGTCGCTTTATAGGTGACCGCTCGGTGAAATCGACCAAAAAGAAAAAAAAAAATAAAAAAGTAAAAAAATAAAAGAAAGAGAGAGAGAGAGAGAGAGAGAGAGAGAGAGAGGAAAAAGGTACAGGCTCGTTTGAGAAAAACGAGGAGTCGAAA